ACCCTTCCGGCCATCTTTTATTGCATATCCCCCCCATCACACTGTTCCTGTGATGAAACAAAGCAGTGGCAACATCATGCTGTGGGAATTCTTTTTTTTGTACAGAAAAAAGTTGGAAAAAAACCAAAACAAAACTTTTAAAAGCTGTCAAGATTTGAAACTGGGAGAAAAGTTGACATTACAAAACAGGCATCTTAGCCAGTGGCGATTTCTCATGGAATACTAGGGAGGCTAAACCTCCCGGTAAATTTCACAGAATACTTGGTCAAATACATAATGTTAAACTTCATAATGGTTTAATGTATCTTAACATTTGTTAATAACTGACGTTTGGATTGAATTAACTCCATTGAGCCTCCCCTGTTTCAGAGAGCAGTAGCCACTGATCTTAATATGCATGTCTCAATAAATATACTCCAAGATGTGAAGTAGTTTTTAATGTTTGAACTTTTGCCTTGTATGTTTTTTTTTTTTTTAAACTTAGAAATGACTAAAGTGTGACTTGCTAATTTGACCAGCCCCCCTTTTGCTGTCTGTGCCTCTATCGTCTCTCATCTCTCTGCCTTCTGTGGCGCATGATGTCCTGCAGATGGATTATAATGTTATGTAATAAGGCAGTAAGGAATAGGCTATTTGTTTTGGCCTCGGAACAGGACTATCAGCTTTACTTGGCGGCGGTGGATATACGAGCACTGCCTAACACCGGAAGGCTGATCTCCCACTGTTAGGTTTCCATTTTTTTGCCATTTAAGTAGTTTTTTGCTTCTCTTAATCTACACCTTTATATTTATCAGTATTTTTCTTTTTCTTATCTTTTTATATTTTAACATTATAGATAGATAGTGCACCAAAAAAAAAAGCCCTAGAAAGGTGTGATGCATTTGGATAAGTCCCAGTGTTCTTTTACAGTTTGTGATCTTTTAAATATGGAAAGTAATAAGAAAATAAAGTTGCTTTTAAAAAGTCACATATTTCCAAGACCTCCCAGTCTCTTTGCAAGAAACTTTGTACCTTATTGAAACAAAAAAAAATCTGCAGGCTAAATGGTCAAAAATATTTAGACGTAAGCTCATAAGAGAACAGGTTTTCGTTTATAATTATGAATGGTTATATTGTCATAACCTAGAACTCACTTCTAACATTTTTGAAGTTCCCCTGGATAAATACGGGAAAACCTAGAGATGAATGGGCAAAAATCTTCATGATATTCTATAGAAATCTACGGAAGAGGAATAGGGCCATTAAAAAAAGAAACCGGCAACAAAGATGGCCATTCAAGAAAAAAAAAAAGTTCTTCCTTTATTCTTGAAACTAAAAGTCAAGTCCCTTAGGAGTTTATTGCCAAAGCCCAGCATTAATATTTTGGTAAGTTAGAATACAAAAAAAATTGTCATAATTCTATTAGAATAATTCAGAGATTGAAGCCTTTTTTGTTTTGTTGATTAGCTGTTTTTTTTTGAATGGCTGTAATTCTCGTCTGAAAAAAAAATAAATGAACATTTTCACAGTTGTCAACTAGGGCTGCAACTAATGATGATATTGCAAATTGATTAATCTGTTGATTATTTTTTGATAAATCAATTAATATTCGGACAATAAAAGTGTCCTTAAAGAAGATTTTTTTTTACAAAAGTAAACCAAGTGAAACTAACACTTTTCCAATTGAGGAGTTCTGGATAGAGCATATTGACAGACAAAAACATTTTTTGATCTTAAATGCATAATGTAAATATGTTTTTTTTTTTTTAAATAATTTTGATATAATTACTGCTCTAATTGGGTCGCTCTGTCAACTGAATCAATTACTAAATTAGTTGACGATTATTTGAAAAATCGATTAATCAAGATTATTCTGATTAATTGCTTCAGCCCATCCATCCATCCATCCATCCATCCATCTTCTGCCACTTATCCGGGGTCGGGTTGCGGGGATAGCAGCTTCAGTAGGGAGGCCCAGACGTCCCTCTCCCCAGCCTCCTGCTTCAGCCCTAATTTGTTTATCCTCTCTTGCATCACATAAAAAAGCACAACTGCTAATTCTGACAATATAATCAGTATAATAGTACATTTATCATGATAATAGTATATAATGGCATATAGGTAGGCCTCTGGTTGCTCTCTTAAATATTGTACTACTAAAGTTTACCTCTAAGCAGGCTATTGGGAAATTGCTTTAACCGAAATCTGCACCTCTATGCAGAATGTGATTGATTCATCTTTATGCTGAGGACAGTGGGTTTTTTCTTTTTTGCTTTCATGCCAACATGCAGGATGATGTTTTGACATCCTGCATGTTTATATATCTGATGTGTGCAATGAAATCGTAATATTCGTGCAAAATTTTTCTGCAGTTCAGTCATGCATTTATTCTCTAACTAACAAGCATCTTAGATCTAAATCTGCAGCTTATGAATTTTGGAATTCAGAACCCTGAATAGTTACTTCAAATCCCGAAACCAGTAAAATGTAACGAAAGAATTCACTGTTTATTAATTAGCTGACAAAAAGAAAAGATTACGTGACCCATTTTTTATCCAAAAAAGAAACAATACCATGCTAACTCTGCATTACTTTGCAGAACTATGTTGTGTGGTTTGCAGAAGGAGTTATGAGAACCACCCCTCTGTGTTGTTGAAGTTAATGATTTTGAGCAGGATCAGTCAACGCCCTTCTCTTTAGTGGAGCTCCCTCCCAGGCTCCTGGCAGGTGCTGTGCTGTTCCTGAACACATCTGTAAGCACCGCGCTTTGTTTGGGCGCCTCCCTTTTTTGAACAGTACATCTCTAGCAAACAGGTCATATAAGTACTCTATAAGGTCACAGTCTTCCCAACGGCAATGGGAAAAAACAAGATAAACATTGTGACATTTAACCCTTTGGTTTGACAGGAATAAAAAGGCTCTTTTAAATATTATTCTTCATAAAATAAATTATTGTTATCTTTATTGATCTTAAATGTTATTACCTGAAATCTTCTTCGTTCGGTTTTCTGATTTTCTAACGCTTTTATTGTCTGGTTCACTGTTTTTATTTTCCATCTCTGCATCCAAGCATAGCAGTTAAAAAAAAAACTGTCAGCAAATCTAATTCTGATTATTTTTTATTGTTGTTTAAAGTCACTTGTAATAGAACTGATTCACTGTCTCAAAAATAAGTGGTTTTATAGATTACTTAGTATTATTGGTTTGTTTTAATGAAGGTTATTTCTAAATTCATTAAATGGAAATCAAAGATTTTGACTTATTTTTTATGATGTGTGTAAAGTTGTAGGTAAATCATTTGAATATTTGCATCTTCAGCCTGTGGAAAAAGTACGATTTTTGTAAAAGATTTCAACACCAGAACAAGAAAAAAAAAAGTAAATAAGACATTATGAATGATAGATAAGGTTCAAGGGCATCTTTAAGGCTGGGAAAGAAAACATGCCAAATTGGTATTAATCCAAATATAACTTAAAATACAAAATAAAATCAGTGAAAATTATGAAAAAAATAATGTTAAACAACTTTGGAGGGTTGGAAAAAAATAATAAAACAAAAGCTAATCATGAAACTGAAGCACCCAAACTATTTTAGAGATTGAGGTGAATCAAACCAATTTTTTTCCCAGGTTCTTTGAAGAGGGAAGAATATTTAGCAGCTAACATCGTTAAAAGAGACGTCGGGAGAGGACATGGCGCAGAGCCGGCCAACTGGACTTAATGGAGTAAAAGGACAGCTTTGTCTGGCAGTGGTTTAAGACATTAGGAAGAATTCAAACATGCTGCAGATGGATGGGTCATTCCCTTCTCATTAATGAGAGGAAGCCCTGCTGATAGGATCTATTTCCCTCTAAATTCGCTCATCTTAGTTTTAATATTTGTGGTTTGAGGACATCATCTGTGGTCTGCGTTGTTTGTTGTTGGTTGTGGAGCTCTGGTTGTTCCAAACAGGAAGGTGGTTCCATGAGGGTATGCAGGCAGGACACGACGTAAAGCTTTAATGATCATAGTGGTGGTGTACTTTACAGCAAGTAAACAAGTTTCAGATGACACCAGGAAGTTCTGTTATTACTTTATAATTAAACGTGCACTCTTTAATTAAGTTGAGTATTTTTTATTTATTTTTTTGCAGGTTATTGACTCCCTGGGTGTCATGATCTACAAAGCTCTGGATTATGGCCTCAAAGAGAACGAAGAGCGAGAGCTCAGCCCCCCATTGGAGCGACTCATCGACATGATGACCAACATGGAGGAGACGGAGAGCGACCCTTGTCCTGACGAGGGCTACGAGGCCACGGAGGAGGAGGACGAGTGCGAAGAAGAGGATGGGGATGAAGAACTCATCTCGGATACCTCTGCCAGCGCAGTGAGCAGCATCAAGAGTTACAGAGACATCCTCTTGGTGAGTATCAATGGCGTTTTGGTTTATAAAAGAAAAAACAGCCTCATAGCTACTGAATAGCCACTAAAGAGCTGATATCTCCTTTAACTTCTGAAAAAAGTTAAGAAATTGTTTTTGTTAATTAATGCAAAGATCTTGAAATGTTTCTGATAGAGCTGCAACTAATGATCATTTTAAAAATGGATTCATCTGTTAATTGATTTTTTTCAATTAATCGATTGATAATCAATAGGATATGAAAAGGTTCCTTAAAGATTTTTTTTTACAGAATTAAACCAAGTGAAACCAAGACTTTTCCACTTAAGGAGTTCTAGATAGAGCATATTTACAGAAAATTAAAATAAGGACTGCTCTGAGTCGCTCTGTCAGCTAAAGGCTTGTTTTAGAGTCCCTATACTCCAGTTAATGATTAATCGATTACTAAATCAGCTGACGATTATTTCAATAACCCATTAATCACAATTAATCTCATTTATTTAATCAATTACTTAAGCCTTAGTTGCTGACATGTCAGCCATGTTGTGAGCTGATATTAGAGTTTTCTTCTATTTTTAGCATCTGTTGGCTGATTCATTAGTGCTTTTAGCGGCCATGCCTTGATATGACGTGAAGCGCATGCATTTCCACTCCCTCTGTTTGCTATACGGCGCTAATGTTTTGTTTGATTTGTTAAAAGCAATGCTTTTTTGTTTTACAGAAACCTGTGTGAAATCTGATATGAATATGTCATTTTTTTTATTCAAATGGAGGAAAAAAACATAAAGACTTTAAGAATTGACCCCCCAACCTGCAACCTTTACAATCCAAAGATCCAATTTACATTCAGTCCAGCTAATAAAACTCATTTAGAGCCACAAACGTTACCTGACATTTTTTAAAGAGAGAGAAAGATAGCTTATATTTAACAAATATCTACCAAAGATTTATTTTTTACATAAAGAATCACTTTGCCACTCCAAATTTTAGTTTTTTTAAAGAAGAAAAGAAAACCCTACAAAATTGCTAAAATCTTTGGAAAATATGTTTAAAAAAAGGTTTTTCCTACTTAAAGAAGATCAACTAATATATTTCTGTTATATTTAGAGTGAATTTATTTAGGAAATTTAACACAATTAGTAAAAGGAGAACATACTAACCAGCACTCTAACTAGCATTTGTTAGTATATCTATTTTTCCAAAGATTAGCTGCACTTCATCATTTTTATCCAAACTGATGAAGATCTATTTTCAAATGTCTAAATAGCCACTTACGGCTCCAGAGCCAAAGGTTGCAAACCCCTGATTTAGCCTCATGTCAGTAATTGGTATCGGCCTTAAAAATCCTGTATCGGTTGATCTCCAGTTCCCGTATAGCTGCCAACCTGACAGACTGATCTGATGCAAGCATCAATGTTTAGCCTTAGAACAGCTTCTGTTCATCGGTATCGATGGATACCTATGTCCTTCTTCTAAAATTAGCCTGACGGTTTATTGTTGGGCTTTTGTCATGGATTTGTATTTATTAATAGCAGACTGAAGGTGGCACACCTAATCCCTATTCAGCAAAACGAGGTAGACACGCTGCTTCTATAAAAAACAAAAACCTTTAGTAAATATTTTCCATATAACTGCCTAAATGTGTTTATATTTTATGTCAGAGCTGTGAGCCGAGCGAAGCAGTAACATGTCATTAACCCCCCAGGTGTAAACGCATTCCCCTGCTGGTGGACATCACACTAAGGAGCCCAAGTGGCTGCTGGGTGTAAGATGCTGATAAAGCTATATTTACACACTGTTGTTTGTGGCATAAGCAGAAAATGGGTTCTTTTTATTTAACAGATTCAAATATAGAACTTGTAAAATGGTTGTAATTATTCCTTGGATGTTGTTTCTGTGATTTGGTTTTCTTACCCAGTTCCTTTAAATTAGACTGCATCCTTTTGGGATGTTTTTGGTTTTCCTTTTTTGTTGCTTTCATTATTCGAGTGAGCTAATGATGTCCCTAATTAGCCGCTCATAAGATGCTGATCCAATGCTTAGATTTTAGTTCCACTTAATGTTTTTTTTTTCTTTTTTAGATCTGATACATCATCTACACAGCATTAATGTGCAGATTAATGTTTTGTTTTTCTTTTTATAATAAATGAAGTTTGGGGTCAGCATATGTCATCACTGTGTGGAAAGACTGAGGCTACGTGAATGTAAATAAGCAGACGCGGTCATGCTGCCGTTGCTTTCACTCTTTGAGAATTGCTTAACCCTTAAAAACAATTTGCAGCGTCATTCCGCCACGCCCATCATACAAACCCGAAAAATATGCCATTCGTCTGGTTTGCGTCTTTGTTCACTTTGATATGGTTGGCTGACACATGCTTTTCCCTGGCATTCGGCTTTTGTTTTAGCAGTGCAATCACGCAAATACCTGAGAGGACAGGGCCTTAAATGGAGAACAGAAAAAGTTAGTCAGTGATCGGTTCTCTGACTGGATCATCAGGTTCAGAGTCTTTGTTTTCTTTTTCTCAGTTTTGTGGTTTTAGTGATGTTGGCAGCTTGTTGGAGAGGAAAATGTTGTCCTGTCCAACTTTAACCTTTTATTTTCCATTATTCTTGATGAATCAGACACCTAATCGTTTGATTTGCTCTAACTTTAAAAACTTTTTGCAAAAAATTTTATGCATAAATGAGCTCGATCTTATTATTAACTAATTTCCTAGCTTCTCCTTAACTTAGTGAATGTTAAAGAGTCTGTTTATGTTACAGTGCTTTGAAACTCATGCTGATGGGAAGGAAACAAATCTACAAAAATGAAATAAAATAAATATCACTGATCTATTACTGACTACATAGAAAAACAATGAGATACTTCATAGTAAAAAAGATCCAGTGTTACTTATTGATGTATTCCTAATGATAATAATGCATTATTTTGTATTGCTAAGAGTTAAATACATGGGAAAGCACCACAAGCCAAACTGCTGATCTCTGTAGTCAAAATAAATCAAAACACTGAAAATACTTGCATGAGACAAGATTAATTGTCTACAGATCTATCTAATGATATGCAAGGCTATTTGATCACTTCATGAGCTCTATTAAATGTCCTCTTACTTCTGCAGATATGTTCATCCCACCTTCCAAGCCCATCCGATGCTCCAAACCACTACCAGGCGGTTTGCCGCGCGCTTTATGCAGAGACCAGGGAGCTGCACACTTTTCTGGAGAAGATAAAAAGTGCCAAGGAGGTAAGAAAGATTTGGGACCCCACCAGACAAGGACACAAGATTCCTCTAACAGATATAAAACATTAAGAGCTAAGAAAGGATGGTTTCCTCAAAGACCTTGTTTATCTTTACAGAGTGAGGTATTTTTCCCTTATCATGAGTTTAAAATAAGCTTTCTAATTCCAAAGTGTGAAGGCCCAAAAAAAAAAAACCCAGCAAAGTTTCTAAAGATAAGAGATCTTTGAGAAAGTACCTAACAATTTTTATCAACTGGAGTTGACTATTCTGGAAACAATGCAGTTAAAAAAAAAAAAAAATCCAGAACAACAATGACTGAAATTGTTGTTTGTCCAGCTGAGGGTTCGCTGTGACTTCATTCTGCCCTAATGTGATGTGATGTGATGTGATGTGATGTGATGTGATGTGGCGTCCTGTCTCTAGTGTCAGTCGGTCAGATCTGGTTAGAAACGGACAATATGGACAAAAATATGGACAAAAATGACTAAACTAAAAATAATAATGGCTTCATCAAACAGAAGAAGATAATGAGCAATGTTTAAAATAAAATACCAGATATATTTCTCATTCTTTTACCGATCATTTTCCATTAACCATTTTGTTGACATTTTTTGGCTCCATCCAAGGGAATCTTACCTCTTTACCGTTTTAATGCTTTCTTTAGCTTGTTGTTTTTCCCCTTTTAAATTATCAGATGATCCAGAAAGAAATGGAAGTTTACATTTGTTTGTAGTGTAAGGAGTGATAAACTAAAGATTTTCCATTAATGAAAGTTGAAGATACAATATTTACATTTTAGCAGGAATCAATACAAAAACATATATGTTCAGGGTTCATCAACCACCTAAAAATATTAGAAAATATTGATTATAATTTTTTGATTCCCAGGTCTGGAATAGTTTGGAACATTTTTTTTTCTCCAGAATTCATTCTCTGGGCAAATTAAATCAGTGATCTGTTTTCTAGCAGAATCTTTACTAACTGTGGATTTTATTTGCATTTATTTGAAAAACTATGTTTTAACTGCTGGATGGTGATTGTAAAAGGTTTGTTATGATAAGATAAGAAAGTCAAAGAAGTCGGTGCTTAAAACTCTGAACCTGAGATTATTTCTTTATGACTTAAAGGGACATAAAAAAAAAAATGCTTTAAACTTTGATAAAAAAAAAGAAAGAAAATCACATCCAAAAATGATTCCAACATGTAGTCAGACTCTAAAAAGACAGCATGTCAATAAATGTTTTTAACCACTGAGATCTGGGAAAAAGCTGAGAGGAGCTCGTCCAGCAGACTCAGGAAAGGCAGATTAAACGTCGTCATTAAAGATGATTTGATTATTTTATTTCCTCTGGTGTTGACTCAGACTGAGAGAGGGTTATCAACACGATCATGTGAGACAACCCTCACCAGTTACACAACAAGAACAGGTCATTTGCCCATGACTTTAACATATCTGTTGTTTTTTTCCAACTTTTTTTTTATGGACCAGAACCTCCGAAAGATGGAACGTGAGACTCATGATGAGCCTGAGAGAGACCTTAACGAGCTGCAGAACGCTGACTGGGTAACCTTAGACCCTGTATGCTGGTAGATTTAAACCCAGACCATGTAAATACAAAAACCGCTGAGTAACTTTAAATTAATTCCACACAGGCCCGGTTTTGGGTGCAGGTGATGCGTGATCTGAGAACCGGTGTAAAGTTAAAGAAGGTCCAGGAACGGCAGTACAACCCGCTGCCCATAGAGTACCAGCTGACGCCGTACGAAATGCTGATGGACGACATTCGCTCCAAACGCTACAAGCTGAGAAAAGTCATGGTAAGGGCTTTTCTCTTCCAGCACCTTCTGTTTTTACAGACAGAACAACTTTATGATTTGAGCATCTTTGGTTTATTTTCATAAAACTGATTTTGTTCCAGGTGAATGGAGACATCCCCCCACGGTTAAAGAAGAGCGCACATGAGATCATTCTTGAATTCATCAGATCACGGCCTCCTCTTAACCCCGTAAATATACTCTAATAACTGTTTTCAGCAAATAGCAGTTGCAGAAACCTTTAGATCTACTTGTACAAATGCTAACGGCGTCTATGTGGCTTCAAAATTAGTTTATACAGCAGCATGATCTCATATGGAAAAGGAATCCAAGTACATGTGATAAGAGGGGAAATAGCCTTTTATAAATTCTTATATAAGGCCCCTCCTGAACACTGAGGGATTCATGATGCTGTTGTCCTGTTTTATGTACTAAAAACATATGTAGGTAAAGGATTTTCAAAGCTCACGGCATCAGGAATGTTTAGAATATTATTATTTTTGCCTCCTAACAAGCTAAAACTGAATTGTTTCAGCAGACAAAGAGGCAACATTCATCCAGAAGGAAGCTTTTACTGCTCTGGACCTAAATATTGTAAAAATCTGATGGTTAAGGCTAAGGGGAAGTGTGTGTATTGCTTGCAGCATTGATTTAATGCTCAATAATTTATAATTTTCATGTTACTGGATGAATTAGTGCAGTAAAAAAGTCATATTTTGTTGAAAAATTCTATTTTTTTTTTGTTTCTGACCTCTGCTGCTGTTGCAGGTTTCTGCTCGTAAGCTCAAGCCCCATCCTCCGCGTCCTCAGAGCCTCCATGAGCGACTATTGGAGGATATCAAGGCTGAGAGGAAGCTCCGGCCAGTTTCACCCGATATGATTCGCAGGAACCGCCTAGGTGAGGCACACAATCACGGATATGATGTTTGCAGCTTAGTATGCAAGTATAATTGATCAACTCGCTGAGAGGAAGATATTTTTAGGAACTTTGGTAACTTTGTGCATGACTGCTAGCAAATATGATCTTAATCAGTCTGACAAAACTAAGATGTTTATTTATCCAGTCGGTGAGACAAGGTAAATGTTTTTTCCAGATGGTCATGAGATCAGTTAGAAAATTAAATCTAGAAAAACGAGTTTGGAAAACTCATTTTTACCTGGATCACAGATTTTACCTTAAAATGATCAGATTTTATTTACAAAACCAAACGGGTCCTGCATATTACGAGTCAGTTTTCCTCTTAGTAGCTGTCGACTCCACTGTTCATTTTAACATTTTCTTCTTCTTCTGTTTTCGTTTCTTTTTTTCCTTTGTTTCCCTTCAAACATGGGCATTTCTGTCAGTCATGCGACCTCTAAGCATGTCTTACAGTTTTGACTCATCAGGTAAAGACAGCCGTTGTGTTCCTATAATAACATTTGTATTCATTCCAGCCTGCTTTCTTAGAATTAGCTTTTCCCACGTTTCAATATAATGTTAGCCATCTAGCACAGTTGTATTATGACACACTAGTGTCACACACTGGATGTTCTAATAAAAGCATCTGAGGAGAAGCTGAGTCGACACAGGACAACTAAATCTGAATATGTTTGGAGGTTGTATGCAAAGAAAATCAATTTATTTTCTGGATCAGTTTGGATCTCGTTTGGAGCTTTTAATGATTTTTTTAAAATAATTTGTTTCCCAAAGTGCGGTGAAGGAATTTATTTAGCAAAAATTTACTCACAAGTTGAAATGTATGGTGGAAAAAAAGACCTGTTGTTCCCATCAACAAGCTTCCAACATATATTTTGATAATTTTTTTCCATAAATTACACATAAAGTATAATGTTCTTGAACATCAGATTCAGAATGAATCATCTGACAGAACTTTTCAAAGAAGTAAAAGTCCACAATGTTCATTCAGGCCTCAGTTGAGTAAAATCCTATGCTGTGTCTCAAACCAGAAGTTCTCAGTCAGCCGCTGAGAAAAATTTGAGCAAGGAAAGCCTGGTCACTCTAATCACCCCTCCCTGATGGATATGAGGCGATTACATAATGCTGTTGTCAGTGGCTTGCCTCACATGTAGGTGAATGGCGGATGACGGTTTTAATATGGCGTTAATCCTCACAGGAGGATCAGACTAAACCTTTGCACTGTGGCTTCCCTCATTGTCCCTCTCTGGTTTTGTGACGCTCCCCTTCACGCACATTCCTGCTGTTCCTTTAGCTATGATGCACACGACGTCTGCGCCCGAATGTGGAGCACTACGGCACCGTCCCTGTTCCCATCACCCCTTGTTCCTATCCCATAAATCGGCCTTTGATAAATGTGTCTGTCTGAGCTCCGACTGAAGACAATGTTTGCTTTATTTACCTACAGGTGCTGGGAAAAGCATCAGCACCCCTCAGGATTTGTTCCGCAGTTCAGGTAAAGCAAATGCTGCTGCTTCATTGAAGGTCCCCCCCCTACCACATTTGGTCCACTTTAAACAGATCAGAGTTCATTTAAACCCCCTTTCGGACCATTCGTGCAGGTGTGGGTAGACTTAAAAGAGCCCCAGACTCAAACAATGTGCTGAGACCCACTTTTTGAAACGGTATCAACACGCTTCCAAATGGACTCTGATTCGTTTCCCCTCTGGTCTAAATACAAACCGCATTCAACTTACTAAGCCTCCGTAGTAACGAATTTAATACCAAAATGAAACCCCATCTGATATATGTTGCTTAGCAACACTGCTGCAAGCATCCAGCTGCTCTCCTTTAGCTTGCGTGATGCATCCTCTGCCGCTTTTTGTAAAATACACATCGAAAAAAAACTCCAAATCTGCTTCGAAAGACCTGTTCTTTGTTTGTGAGTGGTTTTGTTTGCATATTTGTCGGCTTTTGCAAAGTTTGCGAAACAAAAATGCTGCATGAAGGACTCTGGATCTGTGCTATGTTCCTAGTCTTTTCTATCCAATTGGAGCAATAATAGTTGCATGCATCGCTTTGCTGTAAGTTATGGCTCACTTGCAAAAAGTGCGTTCTGAACGTGAAACAAGAAAAGAAATGGATCATTTTAATGAAGCATTTTTGACCAACAGATACGCCTGATGGTCGGAGGAAGTTGGCCTGCAGCACCCATTCTCTGGCTAGTGGGATCACAGGAACCCCTCAGAAAGCGAAGCAGCTGAGCCAGAGGAAGAGGCTCCTCAAAGCGCCCACGCTGGCTGAGCTGGACAGCTCCGAATCAGATGTGAGTTTTCTGGCTGCTTCTGATCACAACCGCACTGAAAAAGAAATTTGAACAATGATCAGCATGCTGAGCTTTCTTTGGACTCTCCATGTAAGTTGTGTAATTATCTGTTTAACAGGAGGAGCCATCAAAGAGCAGCTCCAGTAGGTCCACGTCTTTATTGGAGGACACGTCTCCTGAGGCTGTTGTAGAGAAGAAAGGTATCGACTACTGCATGGAGCGATATGGATTTACTAGCCATGCATTCCTGCTTAAATGCTTTCTTTTTTTTTTAGCACCTCCAAAGTCTCGGCCTGTTTCTGCCACCCATCAGCCAGACAAGCACCAGACTCATGAGAGGCGCCACCCTGTGGAGAAGGAGGCACCTGCCTTCGTCAGGGCTTTTGCACCGCCATCCAGACAGGCCTCCAAGTCACTGGTGAGTTGACTTCATGAGATTTTTTGCTCAGCTGTGGTTTTTATTAATGTAGACCCACCAATCAAGCTTTTTCTGCTCAGCTTTCATTCAACTTTTACTAATTTTTTTTTTTTTTTTTATGTTCTCCTTTGATTTCTGACCGGTGGATTGGTGCTTTTTGTTATTACTACGTTTGACTGGATCTTTGACAAACTGAATGGTTTTAAAGGCACTGAATTAACACACACAGAAAACAATATTATATATTGAATTAATTATATTGTGAAAAGCAGGGCATTTTTTTTTTAGTTATTAAACTGGCTTGCTTTTTATTTTTAATGATAGAAATTGTCTTGGTTGATGATTTCTCAGGCAGATCACATGATTAACTGCTCAGTTGGATAGTCTGACTTATGAAGGACAGTAAAAGGTTTCATTACTGGCCAGCAAGAGAGAGCAGAACTTTGACTGATTAGTTCCAGTTTTCTCACGGATGAGAGAAAAATAGGTTTTTTTTTTTTTTTGTGACCTTTACTGGTCAGAGAGAAAATTCCAATGGATTACCCAATGATGAGAACATTCCTAATGGTAAACTGACCTTTCAAGTGTCTAGTCAACCTGGTCGCAGTCGACATGTTGAGACCAAAAGCTGGTGTTCATTTAAATGCTGCAGCCATCGGCCTTCTCGCCTTCGATGAAGTTTATAGAAGTTAAGTTGCTCATGTACACTTTTTTTTTCGGTTAAATTTCTATAACCGTTTTTTTTTTTTTAGGTGAAATAAAACTGTTAATTCTTGTGGCTGGGTTTAACAGCAACAGTAGAAGTTGAGAATGTCAGCTGAATGTCCTCCTGTCCTGTGACTGCTGATTTGTTTACCATGAGGTCAGCGGCTGAGCTGCTCTGTCCTCAGCCGTCTGATTCCAACGAGGTGGACGCAGCGTAATTGGAACCACAGGACCGCTGCGTTGAGACGATCATTTGGGCAACATTTTTTTTTTTACAATTCCTTTTGAAAATTTTCCATCTAAAACCAAAATTAGATATTTTAAATCTCAACTTTACTTTCACTGAATGTTGTGATTAAAATTTGTAGATGCTGCCGTCTGGTTCCAAAGTTTAATGAATAAGCTCACTTCACACTGGATACACACAGCTGCTTTCTTAACCATTCTAACACAATGAGAACTTTAGGGGTAGCATGTCTGATCTGACTGTGAACTTACACTTTCTGGACCTCCATCATAGGTTTCAGCTGTACTAAAGAGGAGGAGGTCCCCCAAAGTGGGGGTCATGAGAAACCCAATTTAGGAGGGGCGCTACATGGCTTTGTGATGTGACCCTTATCACGGAGGGTCAAAATATACCATAAATGTGAATTTCTCATGAAATAAATTTCTTATTCAGTAAGTAGATGTAATATTTATATATTCCTATAATACACGATTCAAACATTAAATATATTATCAAATGTACCATTAAATCTTTAAATGATTTTAATTAAAAATAATATATATATATTTAAAATTATACTTTAAATATTGAAACGCCATTTAAAAAAATATTTATTTTAAGGTGAATATTATTACTTCACTCTAAATGTATATAATTAAGGTTTTTTTAAGGGGTCTTCCTTCGGTTACATTGTTATTTTTGGGGTCACAATCTGAAATGTTTGGGAACTAAAGCTGTGCAATTAATTGCATTTTTAATATAACAAAAGGTAATTGCTTAGTCACTAATTTTTGGTCCCATTACATTTAAGTTTTGCTACTCTCCGCCATGTTGAAAGATCAAAGTTGACCCCTTCTCAGCATTAACGTTTGTTTCCAGCTTTCCAGTGGAAATTGCAACGTGAGTGGGTGTTCAGGTGTAATTTGGATGTTTGCTTTTGGTATTTACTGTACTATAATTACGACACCACATCAAGGCAGCATTAGACTCTGAATTTAATTAATGCAGCCATTTAGGTAGCGGTAAAACACTTAAAGCAGTGGTTCCCAAAGATTTTCTTCTGGGCCCCCCTTTTGGATTACAATAA